ACCAAAAGAGTGATGTCTTTAGTTGTAGGAGATATATATGGGGAGGAGCCATTGCAAGAAGATTACACCTTATTTTGTAAGCGAGTCTGAGGAAGAAGTCTGAGTCGGGGAGAAGATCGCAACTCATTTCTGGAACTGCAAGACTTCCTCTTTATGCCTCGACTGTCACTGGCAACATTTTCTGCAACATCAGAACACCTCTATCATGCATCAAGTTACTTCCCTTTGTTAAATGACACCAAATAATATTCGAGGGACTGTTTGAGCCCATTGGATTGTTAGTTGTGCTCATTGAAGATAAATCAAGAAAATAGACCACCCAATATAGAAATTTTCCTGCCCTCAAGGATTTGCTCCGCTTTTATTATGTATAGAAGTGTATTTCATCATTAAAATAAAAGCAACAATATCTCCCACTATTTATATATAAAACATTTTAGGCTTCTGCATGCACTAAGCGTGCTCCAGTAGTTAGTTATTAAACTATAAACACACAAGAAGATTCGAGCAAAAATAAATAAAACGGGGAAATTCAGAAATAAGCGAAGAAAGCACCAAAAAACATTTGAAGCACTTTGTATGGAGAGCGACTTTTTTAGAGATTATATGATAATAATGCAAGTCTCCTTGCAGAGATTCATACTATAGCAGATTCTTTAACCAACTCTAGGACTATAAAGATAAAGGTAATATAAAAACATACAGCAGTAAATTAATTATTACTGACTATATAGGCAAATATTGAGTTTCTGTAGGATACCTTCACTCTTTGGAGTGGTCTTCAGCTCAACACTATCAGGTTCGTCATATCTGCCTTTTCTCAATCTTACATTAGGTTGTACATTATTCTTTTCAGTATCCTCTCGAGCCACAGAACGTGTCATCCTTTTTGGGTAATTATGTTTTGCCGTGGCTTCATCGACGATTTCCTTCGTAGAAACATTCTTTATAATCTGTCTGTCTTTTCCCACAAGGCTTCCCCCATCCTCAGCAGGGGATCTACTTGACTCAGCATCAATTGCTGAAATAACTGATTTCTGGTTTTCAAATAAATCATATCCTGGCACTGCAATTTTATTTGTAGAAAATTTTGATTTGCTGCATTTAGTCGAAATATTCCTTTCAGTTCCACTGTTTGCTCCAGCAACTGGATTTTTTGCTGCTTTTTTAACTGTTGAATGATTGACGATTCTCGCCTTGGAAGAAGACCTTAACTTTATCTCTCTAGAATAGGTCATCTCAACATTTTCAAGAACTACTGCGTTTCTCTGCACTGCTGAGCGAGTGAGCCTTCTTTCTGAAGGTTGAGTTGTCTTCTTTACTGGTCCCTTGTCTTCAATTTCTTTCCCCTTTAATGGTGCTCTAGAAGATATAAAAGAAAATTCAGATTCTTCTGGAGCACTTGCGGTTGGAAAGAGCGTCTTCACAATGCTTTCATATTTGGGATTTTCTCTTGTTAAGGTAGCTTCAATTTTCATGGAAATTTCATCCATCATAGATGAACTATCAACAGTAATAATGTCTGCTTTCTCCACATTGTTTTGGACGGAAAGTCCTGCATCTTGAGGAAATTTTGACCTCAATGAAGCAAGAGCTGCACGAGCAGCAAGAGGATTATTAGAAGACCTGATTTCTGGGGACTCATCTTGAACAGAGGGAATAGTGGGTGACGGATTTATTATTCTTTTCTCCACAGAATGTTTGCTCCTACTCCGAGTAGTCCTCTTCAAATGATTTAGCACCCCTTGGACTTGTGAATTACTCAATTTGGAAGTAGTAATTGCTCTGCCGCGGATTTCTCCTTTGCAATCGACTGCATGAAAGAAACCATCATCATAATATTTGCAACAGAGCCTACGCACATGAGAGAGTAATTTGGGAAATGCAATAACACTTGAAAAAATCTTTCATTTAATTCTAACAACTACACTATGGGGACCCAACTGATTGTGGGATTGACTAATAAGCAAATATGTAAAACAGGAAATCAATCCCATCATACATGAATATACATGCCAAGAGACTAATGAAACATTTATTAGAATGGTCCCAATGTGAAGACACTTAGATAAGGAGTGAGATTTTTTCACTTATTTATTGATAATAAACATAGCAATATACATTAATTATTTTCTTAAGAAGACATTAGCTAACATCTCACTTCTCAGAAATGGTTACCTGAAGTCCAATGAACCATCTCTAGAATGAATCAAGATTTATTTTCACATACATATCTTATGTTTGCATTGGACTTCAAGAATTTTGCAGATCTAAATCCAAATATTATATAAATAATTTGCTTATGATCATTTGAGAATAATGGATTGATGACAATCACCTTCAATCCCAAATAGTATATCCTCTGATTTTTTCTTCCCAGAAACATCAGCTGAATTACTTATCTCTTCTATCTGTTTTTCCAGCAATGCATGAATATCCATATCCCAATCCATGCTATCAGCAATAGTTGGCAATGGTGAAGCAAACAAGCCACTTGAGGATTCCTGTGTACTGAAGAAAGCAGATATAGTTGGATGTAGATTGATACTTTCTACAGCTAATTTCATGATGGCACTGGATGGAATAGTCAATGGTCCTTCTTTATGGGCTCGGTGAAGCCATTTGATTGTGAAGGTACATCTGCAGTGGATCTTCTTGGAGTGTCTAACACGAATTATCTGCTAATTAAGGTGATTAGTATGTGAATTTACTTGCAACAGAAAAACAATTATATCAAAAGCAAATTTTATCCAATAAGTTCAAGGAATATATCACCATGCAATGATGACTTGAACAGATATTTCAATATAACCAACATCATCGCCTTCTGGCTTCAATGGAGTTTATGAAGCATGGTCATAGACAAATTCACACATAATGGTTGAAACAGTAGTACATGGAGTCGGAAAGAATACAACAAAAATAACAAACTA